CCGAGCAAATGCAATTAAAAGTTACGTAGGTACACAAATCGCATCGACTGTTTTCAACGATTTCGGGAAATTTCATCATTAAAGCGATGAATCAGCGGCAGATAATAAACAATTAACTTTACCAACGAGAGCGTGTTTACGGAAACAGTACCTAATAGTAATAAATTATAACGTTCAAATAAACCTTACCTATCTACCTACTATACAAACAGAAAAACAAAATGGGTGCTCCAATTTTCGCGGGCTCGCAGACTGAACTCAAAGGATGTCAAAAACCGTTTCCACTTTGTGCTTGTGTGTTGGGAAACCCCGGCAATGTTTTGTTCGAACCAATTCGAAATCCTTAGGCACACAGCTTATAGCTTCTGCCAATGTGCCAATGCCTAGCAACCAACTTATATTGAAATGCATTTTTCCTCACTTATAAGTATTTTTTTTTTTAAGAAATAATTTGTCTTAATACGGTATCATCCTCATCATCAACAGCTTATAAATGCCCACTGCTGAGCAAAGCCTCTTCTCACACGGAGAAGGTTAATACATAATATATAAAGTTTTATTTAAGTTTTTATTCTTTAAAAGCATGTTATAATAGGACATATTTTGAACTAACTCGGGAAATATCTAACTATAATTTTTGTACGTTTATAACAATTTACCCTGGTAGACATCCACTTCCTTTAGTCTTCATGTAAAACCTTGAATCGGGCAGACAGACTTTGTCATTTTTTGGAACCCTAGACACAAAGGAATTTCGCGAATGAGACGCATTTAGACATATTCAAGACGTCTATTACATTTTACTTCGCTTTTCTCCAACTTTAGCGACAAGTCAGCTGTACACCGCTAAAAGCGGTAACATTTTCACTCTTTATGTTACTCATACCGGGGAGAACATATTGTTTCGTAGGAAGGACGCTATATTTCGCGCCAAAATAGCTTGCATGAATTTAAATCTCTTTTCCGCGAAGGCTCGCAAAGCTTTCAGAGAAATTTCGACATTACCGTGTATGTTTTATGATGATCATTTGTATGACAACGATGTATTTACAAGGAAGTGGGTAGTAAAACTTTTTGGGAGGTTATAGGTACCTACGCAATGTGAACAATGTTGCTTGTCTAGTTGCAGTTATGAGGGTTTTATGGCAGACGTCGTTAACATACAGGGCTGTCCGTTGTACGGGACCCGCTCATGGGTCACGTATAAAATGCAGCTTTATTGTCCTTTCAACATTTTCCTTGTCCACTCTAAAAGTGGGTATGTAAAGAAGTTAAGCATGTATTTGCCTATACAGCCTTTAGATACTTATACAGGCAAAAATAACATAATACCTTCCTATTACCCGTTACATATTTTGTATCTATCCTGCATAATAAAAAATCTAAGCCAAGAAAGTTCTCTACATTAACGGAATATAAGCAAGCCATCTTATGTGCCGTGCCTACTTTTATGTCTCCTAGGTAAAGATACCTAACTTAGAGCTAAAGTTCTTTTCAACTAACTACGGACTCCCACACAAAATCAATACTTACCTGCCTACAATTTGAACGTATGATGAATACTTAAATGTTGCTTTTATTGTTTTTCGATCAGTTGAACACCTTTTTTTTGTTGACGGGGAGAAACCTTCTAAAGGCTGAATTGATCAAGTTTAACACCTGTTATGTATGTACATACTTACCTATTAACAATTCTATACAAGCATTATCTACTAACAAATCAATATCAACGTTAGCTTAATCCAGATATCCAATAAACTCACGCCTGTTGACGCCTACAATCACTTAGAAAACTTTAATTTTTAGATACGGTAAAATGGGGTAAACAGGGTTTGAGCGGCGAAAAGGGATAGAAAAGGGGTGAATAGATGTAAGGAAATTCTTCATAATATCGAATCACCCCTCTCTGTCCCCATTCACCCCTCGACCCCTATTCACCCCATTTTACGGTACCTATTTATTTTAAGCACTTAAGTACAACAAAGTTACCTAAATCGTACAAATTACACACCTGCCTATAATTCAATTCTATTTATAATTCCATTGTCACAAATGATCCGTTTGCCGATCAAGATTCGAGTGAAATTTGAAGTATTAAACTGGAATATACGGGAGACCATCAAAGCTTTCAACTACACTGACTTAAGTTTGATTGAAGTTCTGCGTCGAGTTGCTGAGCCGTTGTCACTTCGTGTTTTAGGTACCTTCTACATACATAACTAACTAGGTGTCTAACCTATCTATACTATACATAAAGGAATATCTAAATTTGCCTACCTATTCTGATGAATAGGTCTTTTTAATGGGATAAGCGTATAGCTATGTTTTTATGGGATAACCCGGAGGCCCAATTAGTCGCCCCCTTCCCTAATCTTCCCAATCCCTAAATCTCCAACAACCCCCAAATTCCTAATCCCCAAAAGTTCCAGTTCCAGTGGAGTTCCAGGTGTCCATGGGCGACGCCGATTGCTTACCATCAGATGATCCGTGTGCTCGCACCGATAAAAAATTGCATATCTGCTGCCACTGAAACCAGAAACATCCTCGTGTTCCATATCCATAAAATATCAACATAACAAGTTTACTATTACAATAAATCATTACAAAGACGTTTCAGTACCTCCTACTTGAGAGATAGCAACCACTACACAGGAGAGGTAATCAAAATACATTGTGCACTCAAAGCGTAGCATTTATTATGATCAGTTCAACAATGTTCGTTTATACATTTAAATATAACAATGTAAACATGAAATTCATTCTAAAACTATTGTATAAAACAACTTCTAGTTATATTTTTGTGTATAACAATTTTATAATTGTACATGTTTTTTTTTCGTTTCTATCTTAAGTTTCGATACTTGGTGTTTGTGATTAATCAGTTTTCGATTGTCTAACCCTCTAAAAAGTTGATCTTATGTTTATTTCTACACGCTTAGCGCAGCATCTCGGTAATATAATGTTGGCTAGTTAATAGACTGGTGTGCAATGTGTCGCGTGTTTGATTAAATAAATCTTTGTGCTACTGCGACCTACAGATGTTGTACCGGAGGGCCCAGTACGAGTATGTTTTACGTTTAACGCGATCGAAACGTTGATTGGCCAGCTCCAGTGAACCAACCAATCCGAGCGCCGTTCGGCCCTAGTGAGTGTTATGATGCGGAGCGATGGGGACTGGGGTGCCGTCTCCTCCTTTTATGAAGCAGACATGCTAGCTAAGGACCCAGCCGTCGCGATGGACACTCCGGGCATCGGGGATCGCGGGACGTTCTCCGGCTACCGTAAGCGCGGGCCTGCGGACGGCGAGCATGGGTCGCGTCGCGTTTCGAGCGCGCCTCAAAGAGCCATCAGACCACCACGGATGAGGCCCAATAAGGCTGATGCCGATACGGAGCCACGGAGAACCTAACGGGTTACCGGGGCTCCGGCTCCAAGTGCAAGATCAGGAATGGGGTGGTTTTTAGTCAGTAAGAGTCTGACTCTCCCTCCCGCCTCACCCAGGCGGGAGAAGTCAATTGATGATTTGAAAAAAATACTATTACGTTACGGATGTGATAGTTATTCGTGCTTGGCACTATGATTGGTTGGTTTAAGTTCAATTAGACCGCCGAGGCCTTAGTGCGAGTTTGTATTTCTTAAAGTAATCGAAACGAGACCGCGTTCGGCGCTCTGATTGGCCGGCGCCAATCAACCAACCAATAGGAACGCTGAAAGCGGTCTCGTTTCGATTTCGTTAAATGTAAAACAAAGTACTAAGCAGTCAGACTTCAGACCCGGATATGATAAGTATGTGCGCGACACAAAATCTTAGTAAAAAAATTACTTAGCAACTACTTTGGCCCACTATCTTACGACATTGACACATTTTGAGTGACAGAAACACTTTTAAGCCACTTCAAGCCATTGCATTTAAAGACAATATTTTTTTTTGTGATAATTACAATTTTATTTCATTTACAGTTCTTTTTCTTAATTACTGGAATTTTATAACAAAATTACGGGATGATTCAAAATACCACTGGTATTAAAATTTCACTGTATGTGCAATAAAGTTTAATAAATAAATAAATAAATAGAAATAAATAAAAATCACTGGGCTATGGACGTCATTATTAAAGTATTGTGTAAGTACATTATATATAATGTGCAGGGTATAAAATAATCAAATTACACATGTATTTATTTCAATTAAGTGGAACGTTTTGCTCGCGTAAGTGTTTAACAGCAAGTTACTCAACTTATGCTCCTGCCAGCAACCTCGTCAAAGGTTGCGTAAGCATCAAGATAGAAAAATAAAAAAAAAATGTAAATATTATGCTTAGTATAATGCAATAGCAGTAACATTAAAGCTTTTAGCGTATTCTGTTCTTAACTGAAGCACAGCGCGCCACCTTCAACAATTTTCTTTTCATGACGTCAAAAAATTTCAATTTCAGATATTCACTCTTGTAAAGATACTTTTCTATGAGATTTATAATCTAAAAAGCTTACACATGGGCTCTTGAAAATATTCAAAATGCGAGGCATATGCTGGAATACTGAAACGTTACAAAATTTTAATTCGTGCTTAAATATCATGCTGTCTCTGTCATATTACAAAGAATTTGTGGTGACAGAACTATGCTTAAGCGCGACTTAAAATTGAGTAACGTTTCAGTATTCGGGCATTAGATTTGGAATGACTTTTTGTTAATAAATATTAAGTAATTATTTTATGTGATGTATGTAAAAGCAATATTTTTTATTAGTAGACACGTTTTTTCGAATATTTTAAGTTCATTTAACGACATATTTTTATGTAATTTCCAATTGAAAGTTGTGCATTTTTTTTAAAGTTCGCACTACGTCACTTCTACGCACAAAATGGACATTATGGAAGTGACATAACGAACCTGCCTTTCGAACTTTAATAACTTATTATATTACAACAAAACAAAAAAAATCCTCATTTTTAAATGACGAATTAAATTAATTTTCTCTTTTTTTCGCACAATATCCTTTTAATTATTATCTTCTTGAATGTTTGTACTGTTTGGTTGAAGACTACACATATTTGTATAGTCACATTTGTATATGCTGTCATGGAAATATTCCTTCAAGTGCTTCAGTGGACAAAGTTCATGTTTACACATCGGTAACTTGATTATTTTCTCTTGATGTAGAGCTAGAACGTGGTCACCGTCTTTGCACCTGTGGACAAAACAAAAGCAATTAAGATAATATTCATGCATAAATATTCATTGTTGCATCCATATAATTGCATATAACCTCCACTTTTTTGTCAGATTGACACACAATGTGTTGTTATGTTATAAATTTTTGATTCCAGTATTATCTTTAGGGGTGGACCTTTTTTTGGGAGAAGCCCGCCACAAACTCCCGAATCCGCTGCAACTCCTGTAGCCCAGGACAGTAGATACAACCTTTGAAACACCGAAACACTGAAGTCCGGCGCGTCCCAGGGGCATGTATCTTGGTTCCGAAACGTTAGGGGTGGGCCCATTGAATTTATTTATCACTAGGAGGAGAATCCTTATGCAATCCTCGCCTAACGAAGACATAGAGACATGCACCAATACTTCAGAAATCGAAATGCCCTTGTTATAAAAACTGCTTACCTACGCCATTACAGAAAAATAATTCTTAAACAATGCACAAGTTACGTCAGCGTTCTGTTTCTTGAATTTACAATGGAATAGTAAAACAATATAACTATTAACCTATTTGTTCAAAGCAGTTAATATACATCGTAACAAAACACTGAGCAGGCAGGCGGTCCCATTTTACGCGAGATTTATACGACTTGTTGCCTACATTAGCGCAGTAAAGTGTCAATTAATCTGAATTTCTCTGAAACCTAGTTGTTTTTAATATACCCCATATATTAGTCGTAGTATAGTAAAAGTAAAATAGTAATTATAAAATCAGAGTAACCGATTAACATCGACACGAATAACATTAGTTCGCAAAATCAACGCGTTCATTAAGTGCAAAAATAAGTTGTCAGTGTTATTGTGAGGTGTCAATTCACTAGATTCATGTGAGCAGGAGTCTAAGTCATCTGGTTCCAGAGCCGCAGCCTTTGGACTTTGTTGATCTGTAACTCAGCGCTCATCAAAGGGCACGAAGACCCGAAAGACACAATTCTGGGTAAGTTTAAAAGATTTTAACCCTTTGAGTACCGTCATTATAGACACAATTAAAGAACAATAGGTTGCGGTCACCGGTGTCCTCGCGGTGTTTGACAGTTAATTAGCGTGACAGGGCCGCGATGATCCAGCTAGTGAGCCCTGAGGGATCTCCTTAACCCTATATAACCCACCCCTACCGAGTTTAGGTTCATTAATTAACCTGGCCACCCGAGAAGCAAATCACTTCCCGCAGAAGTGAAAAGACGCATCATTGGAAATGGCGTGAAATATAAAGCGAGAGTGTAAGGCATGATACGATGGCTTGCAGGACCTGTACGAGACAGTCATCTCTCTGGCGGACTCGAGAGCACGCCACAAATTTCACTCGAAGAAACGCTCCCGACACGCACGAAAACTCGTTCGAGTTCACTTACGATGGTGAAATGATGGCCCTTAGAGCTAAGCTGACTCGACAAAAATACCATAAACCTCATAATCAACAGCATAGTCGTGTCCACCACTAATTAATAACTTTACTATATTACTTACCTAAACAACACAAAAGCCAAATTAGCGGCGAAGCTGTCAATCTCGGAGAGTTTCCACGGTCTATCCTTGACAATGGCGTCCCCTCGGAGTGGAGACGATGGTTGGTAGAGCTTCATATGCGTCAGAATCTTCAGAATAGTACCCGAGTGACTGAACATGAAAATTGACTGGTACCCGTCTGGTTTGCTGTAGGAGAATAATCATTGACCATGACAATGATACACATAATTGGATACTTGCCAACTAGTTTCTAATAGTAAATTTAATACTTTTTTCGAACTATCAAAAACGACAGTTTTCTATGACATAACATAACATCACGCCTTTTATTCCCGAAGGGGTAGGCAGAGGTGTACATTATACCACTGTACAATGTAACACCCACTTTTCACTATTTATGTTATGACTCCCATGTGATAGAGGGTGAGCCTATTGCCATATACCGGGCACGATTCCAGCCTTCGTGCTACTACTGAGATTTTTTTTAAAAAACCCTGTAATTTTTTGCCCGACCCGGGAATTGAACCCGAGAGCCCTTGCCCGGCAATCACACTTACTACCACTCGGTCAACGAGGCAGTGTATTTGGAATAATAGGGCACAATTTTTTCTTTTAGGTATATCTATCAGAGATTACTGTATCCATTCAGTTATTGTTTAACAAATTTGTCATAAACGAAGAGTCATTGGTCAAACAATGCGGACCTTATCTGGTACCTATGGTATATAGTGTAGTCAATAATAATCTTAATAAGCTAGAAATACAACTCAAAGTCGCTTACTCAAAAAACTCGAACATGTTCTTAATAGACATGCACGCTTGGCGATACGACAGCTCATGTCCGTAGCCATCCAACCAATACGCTTTCAAATCGTGATAGTATTCCAACATCTGAAACATAACATTTAAACATAAAACAGATTCCAATGAAGTTTTACGATTGTAGATCTTTGTAGTTAAGAAATAAAGACGATAATCCCGATTTCTGATTTACTAAGGTACCAAAAACGCTATGGCGAAATAATTTTTAATAGTAAGATCTAATTAATTCTAATGTTTTTATAATAACTATCGTGAGACATACTAAATTGAGAAAAGCTCTACTCCACTACTGTACAGTATATTCACGTGAGTAACCCGCGATTTCAGTTAATTTAATTCTAATATAATAAGTGACTACTTTTTCGAAAACCTAATAAATGGCCTTGTTAATCCTTACTAATATTATAAATCGGAAAGTGAGTTTGTTTGTTTGTTTGTTTGTTCCACTTTCGCGCCGTAACTACTAAACCGATTGCTTTGAATTTTTGCAGACGTAAAGTTATAAGTCTGGATTAATCAATAGGGTACTTTTTATCCCGGAAAAAATTGATATTTTAAAGGGAAAACGAATTTATTGGTATAGATGGCGCTGTGTCTATTGGTATATGTTACATAGGCTACTTTTTATCCTTTTATGACGCGAGCGAAGCCGCGGGTAAAAGCTAGTTCCAGATAAAATCATATAGCAATGTTTATGGCTGAATTATAGTCCATCACCAAACGCCAGATATCAATAAAAGTATGTACAAATCAATAATTACCTGCATACTATCTTCATCGAATGCGTAACACCACGGCGATATGTAATGTTTGTCCCACGACGTTTCATAGCCACAGTACTTGTACATTAACTCCACAGTTTCTGAAAATAAATACACATAATGATATACTATTTTATAAATATTTCTATCATACAAAGCATGAAAATTAACAAACGTGGATATTGAGTACAGGCAGAAAGTTATGAGAGGGATTATAAAGGTGAAATGAAATTGTATTAATTACCAAGCTTTTAGTAATTGTTAAGGTAAGTAAAATATCTTCATAGACATTATCATCGTTGTATCGGCCCTATGACGTCCACTGTTGAACTATCTCATTGTCACAGAATGGGCCCTACCGTATTTTCACTCACCAGGCGCTAGTCTGAATCTCTTGTTCTTCGTCCAACAGGGAATTGGGTACTTGCCTTAATTAAAAATAAATTATTTCGACTGTTCAATAAAATAAAATGTTAAAAAAAATTCACACTTTCATTAATTGATTTTATGACCAACTTAATTTTAGTATTTTTACCGCATTTTTTTAAGAAATAAGTAGGTATGCTGTTTGACTCTTAAAAAAACACAATACACAAAATTCATAGAAAACTGTATTTTTGACAGTTCGAAAAAAGTAGTGAAGTTGATTAGTTGGCAAGTACCCAATTGGCTAGTGTCACGCCATTAGACGTTCAAAATTAGACAACTGCTATGATTGGAGAAAAAAATCTCCTTCTACATTTATGCCATCCTGGTGACCAAAAATTGACACAACGCTGATCAGTTGAGATCAGGGACACTTGTAATACCTTTCAGTTCTTTGTCCAAAACCATACCGAAACGTAAGCTTTGATACGATGTCTAGATTATAGCATCTAGACTTCAGTCTGTTTTGTTCAAAGCCTAGACATAGCACATCCTAACTAGTTAGGTTGTTTGTTTGTTGTTTCGGGTCTGGGTGTGATGTATATGTGAACTTGTATGTTTGTAAAGGTACCCACGACACAGGAGAAAATCCTAATGTGGGGCAACGCTTTTAAAAAAAAAACTAAAAGCTAGTCTTATTTCACAAGGTAAAGCCTTTCTACAGAAAAATGAACACAACAATCTACTGTGATCAATACTAATGACAGTAAAAAAGCAGGACGTACAGCCTGAGATGCAAATACACACAACTCCATGCACTAAACACTCATCAACTTAGAAGTAGAGAAGTATAAAAAGATTGAGTAAGAAGTCAGGACCACATTGAACACTAATAGTAGTACCGGTCGATCGACTGATATTGCTCATAGAAATGTCACTAAAGTTATTTGTACAGCTATTCTAGGTACGATAATGGTAAACGACATAGGCACAGTATGATCAAAAGATCAAAACCTATCGTTATGTTTCACATACAGACAGATCATTATCAGTTATGATACTATCGTGAGACATACTAAATTAACTAAAGCCGCGGGTTACTCACGTGAATATACTGAGAAAAGCTGTACTAGTTTCGAACCACAGAGGGGTTCTTCCTCATGAGTAAGTGAGTGAGTAGTTTCCTCGTAAGTAACCCGCAATTTTAGTTAAGTTATGATACTTTCCAACTGGGTTATGCCGACAATATTACAGGCAAAAACTAATACTATAGTTACATTAGCATAAATTGGTGTGCTATTTTGTAATCATTGACCAAAATAATGGAGCTTACTCTAACAACAGATCGTAAATGTGATCCTGAACAAAGTAAAAACAATAGTGAAGTAAGAAATTGTGACAATGTAGCGAAAGCAAAGCAAGTTCCAGCGTTACAGCACATGTATTGTGTTACGAACCCAATCTTAGTACTCTACTGAGGCCCAGTCTATACGACACGGACTCCAACGTCTTGTTCATTTGTCGACTAAGACCAAACAGTCTAGTCTCCTTGTAAGTCTCAGGATTTCTCTTTACTTGCGATAACCACCTGTCACAGTGTTTGTAAAACTGAAAAATTGCAACTTATTGAAGGAGAAGCTTAGATTTTAGGTCATAGTTTACTAATAACTACCTTATATTCATTCAGTTATGGCTTAAAGTACAGTGGATAGCAGGTCAAACTACCTTCTTCTTTCTGAAAGGTTTCTTAATTACATTTTTAACTTTATAGTTCAGATTATAAAGTCGAAAATCCAACGAAAAAATTACATATTGGAGTAGGTTCACCTGCTTGCATCTGAATGTACATTCAGATAGTGAAGTCCGCCCTTTTTAGAAATATAAAAAAGTAATAGAATTGAATTTAAAACAGTAGGTAAATTACCCTTAAAACTGGATCAACTCGGGTAGCTGGTGCAAATATGATATCTTGCGCATCTTTCTTTTCAAACAAACCATTTGTAAAATATCTTGCACTCTGCTGCGCTCGCTGTGTTGCTGTGTAGCGGAACTGGAAGAGAAAAAAAAATCTATTACTTTTTTTAATCAAAAAATCAATTAAAATAGCTTCTATGGTCAAGTGCTAATCAATGCGACTACTAGACTGCCAAGCAAGAGCTTATTAAGAGTTCAAAAGTGAGTAAAATATTACTCATTGGATTTTTCGATCCGCAATACTAAAGCAGAATATCGGACTATAAACTAGTTTACCGAAATGAATTTTAGTTTAAGCCCTATTTTAATAGAACCTATCATATGCGACTTTGCAACTCATAACATAAGTGTTAATAAGTGGGTTCAAGCACATAAAAGGGCAGTAAGTATTGTTCAAAGGTATTTAAATGTGAACAAACTAATAAAAACTTAAAAAGGGCCAAACCGATCCTTTAAACCTTCAAAAAAAGAGTGTACTCCTTTTTAAAGGGCCAGCAACGGACCTACCTATGATATTGCTGGCGTCCATGGGCGGCGCTGGTCGATTACCACCAGGTGATCCGTCTGCTCATTTGCCTCCTAATACATAAAAATGGGCAGCCAAAAAAAAAATTACAAAAAGGTACACTTACTAAAAATGTCTTATTACTATACTTCTGTTTAATGGCATTTGGGAATCGTTTCTGCATTCTTTCAGCCAATAATATCATTTCATCTTGACCCTCTAACGTCAAGTAACTATCTTGGTCGGGATCAATATTTACTCTCCACTCTTGTAGGCGATTGAATTGCTCATTAGTTAATTGACCTGGAAATTTGAATAGCTTATTTCAATTTGAAGTTGTTGTTGTAATTATTAGAATGTAACATTTTAATTTCGTAAATAATTCTGTTTCATATGATCCAACCAAGTACAGTTTTAATAAAACGCTTGGAAACAGACTAAATTATATTTTTTTAATTTACAAAGTAACAGGCACAGTAAACATACTCTTACCTAGATGGCGTTACTTTAACTTTATTTATTTAGTAATAATCTATGGACACATTAGAACAATAAGTTTGAGGGGTAAAAATTATTGTATGGGCCGATTCCCGGGTTGGGCAAAGTATTACTGGTTTTTATAACAATTCTCAGTAGTAGCACGGAGTCAGAAACTATGCCCGGTATATGGCAATAGGCTCACCCCCTATTACATGGGACTCATAACGTAATAGTGGGTGTTACATTGTACAGTGGCATAATGTACACCACTGCCTACCCCTCCTACCCCTTTGGGGATAAAAGGTGTTATGTTATGTAAACACTTTTATTATATTGTGTATGAAATGTCGTCAAAACTTGTTATCTTTATATAAGGAAACCTACTTCTTCAGTTTCTTTGTCTTACTGCTCAATCTCCAAGCGGTCACCAGTGACCACTCTCCACTTACTCCATTATAGACCTTATTTCCGAACTTTAGAAACTACTTTTATATGAACAAATTGGCAATTTTCAGTATGATATATCTTGATATAATATCTTTATGTTATGTTTTGTTGGAATATGAGAGTTAATTTTAACCAACTACCATTTGCATCTGTTTCACACGAATTACAAAAATACTGCAGATTGTTAAAAATACATAGAAGATATGTTTTCTATAACTCTTGGTTACAACACTTACTTAGTTTTAGTTTTAATGTAAATCAACTCAAAGATACAAACCTTTACCATACTCATGTTGCCATAAAATTTCATACTTTAATTCAAGTAGGGATGAAACAGCACTCAAGTCTTTTTGGCTCGGTAGTCTGGTGCCATGACGAATTACCATCCATATTTTAGTATCTTTGCAGCCTGTAAATGTATGTACAGAAGAATTGTGTTTGTATATTTTTAAATGGACTAAATTTTCAAGGAATGGAAGTAATTGATTGCAATGAGTTATAAAGTTTATCAATGCATTAATTTGAAAATGTGAACACTGTTAAAAACATCAAATAAGTAAGAACAAACAAGATACCTAATGGTCTAAAAAAAATACTAAAATACGGTCGTTTTATCATGAAGAAAACTTAAATACAACAATTCAGTCTCTCGAATAATACATTTAATTACTTAGGACCAACTTACCTGGATATTTTATTCGTGAATCATTTTTATTCGCTCGAAACCTGTATGGTGTGCGTGATCCTAAATGTTGTCGAATAAAACTTGTTTTTATGGAACCTACTGAATCTATATAATTTATTATAGCTAAAACAATCACTGTAAGTAATATTTGCATAATGTGCGTTCAAATTTTCGTTTATTTTTATAGAAAAGCTTAATACTTTGGTAACATAACTCTGTGAATTTCAAAATAAATATTGTATTTAGTTTTGATGTGACGTTAACAGATCTCAGATTGACACCTGACATATTTTTGACAATGACGGTTTTGATTGCGCATTGTGATTACAACTAATATCTCATGCATTCGGATATTGGATAATCGGATACGACATAGTGAAACTAATTGGGTACTAAAAAGTTAAAATTTTTTGTAAATTTATTCGATTATTAAAAATAATTCATTTATTTGTATCAATAAAGTACCGATAATTAGTCATCCTACTAATATTATAAATGCGAAAGTGGTTAGAATGTGTGTTAAATCCTCCTATTATCAGTGAAGAGAAGTTCAAAGCAAGTAATTAATTATTTCGTTAAGAAATATTGTACAACAGCCAAATAATTATATAGGATTGCATTACTAATGCTAGGTACCTATCCTTTTTAACGTCCCTAGTGAACATCTGTTATTGAAAAGATAACTATGCAGATTCGATATCTGCAGAGTTATCTTTTTAAATAACATTTGAAATACAATTTTTCAGATTTTTGTAAATTCTCAATAAAATAGCACATAAGTAAATCTAGAATCTTGTAACTGGTGTAGCAGCAATTGCAGCATTTAGTATGCAGTACAGATCTTCGACTAGTTCCCTGAGATAACATAAAAGATGAAGTGAGTGTCATTATGGGTAAAATGATTAGGCAAATAATAAACAAAATATTAAAAAAGTGTTTATATTTTTTTATTTACATAATTTTATTCCACCTGTAATAGGACATTAGACTGCTGTAATGTTGCTTTTAATGTAAATGGTTTATTTAAACTTTCTACATCAAAGGTCTCTGTGGCAAATTCTTCGCTTTCAGGACCTTCATGCAAAGAAAAACTGATTTTAGTTTCACTGCCAGCATCAATATTTTGAACAAACTGTGCATAAGGTGGTGTTCCTTCTTTGAACAGTTGTACTGTTTGATCCAAATACTTCAGATAGATATCTTTTCCTAAGAATTCGACTTCTGTGTTCAAGTCGTTTAGAGAGAATTCAGGGATATCTGACAACAAACCAGCCTCACGAGCACAGCCCGCGGCAATAACTTCATCTGGACTTATCCCAGAAAGTACCTCAGCTTCAGGTATCAAATTGGCAATTGCAGACTGAAGTTTTGGTATCTTCATACTTCCACCACAAATAACAATTTTGTGGATTGTTCCATTAAAGCTCTCAATCACTTGCTGAGCTGGTTCCATGTATGCACTTATTTTGGATGAAATTACATTTTCAAATCTGGCACGTGATACATTTTGGCTCCAATCCACACCATCTAAAAGTGATTCAATAAACACATGTGCTGAGTTAAGGGTGGACAGAACATGTTTGCAGTTATCAGCATGGATAAGCAGCTTTGCCATGGCTCTTCTACTTTCTTGTGGGTCCAACTTCCATTTTTGTCTGAACTCTTGGGCAATGTAATCCGCTAAATCTTTTGTCAGGCACTGACCACCTAAATCAGATCGGTAGATATTTTTCTCAACTGTCATAAAACCTCCTGACACTTTCACTACAGAGACATCACATGAGGAGCCACCCAGTCTATAGACTAATACATTGACATCTTCTACAGATTCCTCTATGTTATAGGCAAGCAGAGCCGCCGCTGGTTCGCTGATAACTTGTAGAACATCAAAACCAGCAAGTTCAGCACACTTAACAAGCCTTTCTGTGCTTTCAGTTGACCAATGCAACGGCGCGGCCAATACTAACTTCAAATCTCCTTCGTTGCTCATAGCGTGGCTAGCAATAGTAAACAATTTTGCGTAAATTTTAGTAGCTATGTTATCAGGGCTGGAATATAGAGTAGTTTCACTAGTTTCAAACTCATAAACCACTTTGTCTTCGTTTTGAATGCGGCATGATGAGGATGTTTCAACGTACGCGAGATCATCAGCGTTGAAGTCATTGTTCATGAGGCGTTTGTTGTGTTTTATGATCGATTTAGAAGATGGTTGTCCAGATTTAGCAGGCAACCCAATTTCCCATTCGGTCCCATTCAGGGCAACAATAGCAGGCGTAACTCTGTCTCCAGCGTCATTAGCAATAATCAACGGCGCTCCGTTAGAGAAAGAAGCCAAAGCAGCCGAACTGTTTCCTAAATGTATTCCGTACGCTGCAGCCATTTTTTCACCGATTTTATAATACCACTATGCAATACACTTTATTTTAACTTAAGTTCTTTTTATTATCACAGACAAATCTAGTCTACTACGAATAAATTACAAGATTTGTAAAATTTATCATAACCTACACTAAAACACCACACTGACCGCCGCGCCGCACATTTCTAAGAATGTCAATGTCAAATAAAAATGACAACGGTGACAAATGACAATATTCAACAATGACATTGACATTTAGTAGGGACCATAGACACTATGACGTTATTTTCTAGAAGTGCGGGAGCGGGAAAAGGAAATAATAAGATAAAAATTGTAAATTCAAATAGAAAAATAAATATAAAGAAAGAAATATCCTGCTACTGTAACATTTGTATAATAATTACCATAACACTTATAATTCACTTAAGTAACATATTTTGTAACTATATTTAGTAACTCCTTGGCAAAATTTATTTATTTATTTGGTGGTTTGCAGGACTTATGAATTATTTCCTCATCACTTTTCATGCATATTAAAAAAAGAAGAAAAATATCAATCAACTTTGAGCGGGAATAAAGTGATTGTTCATTTGAATAGTAATTTTTATTCAACCTAAATATTAGTTTATTACTTTACAGTAGGTATACAATAAACGGAAAACCTAACTACAAAAGATATTATTGTTGTTCTTATCTAAAGGTGCAATTGCTTTAAATGGATTCTAAGCCGGAAGAAGAAAAAATTGTGCTAGATAGTCGACTGCAAAATATTTTAAACTGTTTATCCAGGTGCAAAATTGTAAGCATTTTCTGCAGCTTGCAGTTTTACTAGTTCGTTTTATGCTCAATACCTACCTACATATCTATTTTTAGTTTATTGGGGACAGTCTGACTTAAAGTTGAGAATAACAATAAACTAATTTCTAGATAATAAAGGTATTTTACATATTACTTATACAGGATTTTACCAATGAAAATGAAGAGTGCAGGAAATTACGAGAAGCTAATTTGAAGTTGGAAGTTGAGTTAAAAGAGGTTCGAGAGATGGAGAAGTCCCATCGCTATCACTTATTGACGTCACGGGAAATGATAGGGAACCTTCAGGAGACCGTTTCACAGCTTGTTTACTTAAAAAGGGACATTAAAAAGTTGAAAGAACAATTATCTGTGAAAGAAAGTAATATTGCAGATGTTGAAAAGGTGAGTTTTACCTATTGAGTAGACGTAGACGAGATCTTCTACGCGCGACTTAACACGTGTGGTCGTGGTCTTTGCTATCTATAAACACACAATCATATCAATCTGCATTAAAAACTTTTTAATTTAATCATCATTCAAATTAATTCAATTAAATATTGATTACATAGTAACTAATTGCTTGCGACGTCACTAGGGTGCATATTTTAGGTACCTACATCATTTACTGTAACCCTGTAACCATCAATTTTATAGGACAAAGAGAATGTAATACAAAAACAGAACGACAATGTAATGAAACTGCGAAGTGCTTATGAAAAACAAATTGAAGAGATGAAGTCTGATAATAAAAGGGAAAGTGGGTAAACTTTATTAAAGATTTTAACGATGTATTTACCTACCTACATCGCTCTTAATTTTCGAAACTCCTACGGAGAATATAAAAATTGTCAAATTCCTTCCTTCTCTATTTGTTTCGTCAGCATGGGGCCTAGCGCCTATAATGTAATCTTAATGCCCTAAAGAACGCTAGCTAAAGATAGCGCCGTACACAGGGTGCTATGTTTAAAAAAACCCTTGGTCTGCTTTACCCTACTTGGGCTATCGTAATCGTTAAAAGTGCTTAGAGGTAGCTAGGTAGGTAAGTGTAATATGTAACACTTAGTTCAACAGATTCAAAACGAATGCGACGCTCAGGTGGCCCAGTTCACATGTGCGATCGAAGAGCTGAGGGCCAAGATGCGAGAAATGGAGGCTGACCACCGCGAAAAGGTACGTTACCTAACTACCATCATAGTAATATGTATGTCGTAGGATAATTTGATATTTCGAATCTTCGCGGAAATCCTAGGGGTTTTGCGAAAACGCGGATAATTAGACATAGGCGAAAAATTATCAAATCTTACTGGACAAAGTCAGGATTTTTGCGAAAATACTCGTTACTATAGTAAGATTTGATGTGCTCAACACTGATTGGCTACAATTTTGGTGGCTGGCTTCTAATTGGTTCCTAGTTTAGGTGAGAAAGAAAAATCACTAAATTGATTTTTATAAACCTTTTATTGAAAATTTTAGTATGTATGTTGTTTTCTACAGACAATAGGAGATCTCAGTCGTTGTAAAAAAAAAATGATCCAATTTTAGGGTGTAATCCATAAATTGGATGAAACTGGTCGTTTAAGACGACGAAAAAACATTTAAGACGTCAACCAATCAGAGACGATCTCTTATTGAACGCGCTGACCGACCAACCAGCGTTCTTATTTCATAACAGCCAGCGTTTCGTTTCGCAATCTTACTATAGTAACGAGTATTTTCGCAAAAATCCTGACTTTGTCCAGTAAGATTTGATAATTTTTCGCCTATGTCTAATTATCCGCGTTTTCGCAAAACCCCTAGGATTTTCGCGAAGATTCGAAATATCAAATTATCCTACGACATGTACATAGATAGAAAAGCTGAATAATCTTCTGTTTTCTAATCGTACATAGCATACCTAAAGCAGCCAGTAGTCATTTTAAGTATAAGCAGCAGCTATCAGTTGTTTCCAGCCTGGACTACCTAGACAATACCTAGATAGATCGTATCGAATGTCTTTTAACAAATTTAAATCTTTATAACTATTATTCAGCTCAGACACAGAAGTTAAAAATACTGGCTCTGTTCCGGAGCACTATTTAGGTAGGTTCTAACACATACCTACCAAATTATTTGGTTGACTGACAAATGTAGGTAGTTTTATTGGCATGTGCCGATGCTAAAACGTTACTCAATTTTAAGTCGCACTTAAGTATAGTTGTGTCACTACAAATTCTTTGTGAAATGACAGAGATGGCACGATATTTAAGCACGATTTTAAATTCTGGATTTTTTTGTAGTTCCTTTTATATTAAGAAAAATATTCTAGATCAATGTTCTGGTTCTGGAATATGAAGAGAAGATACAACGCGAGGCTGCTCGTGTAGTGCAACTTCAAGAGGAGTTAGCTCGGGAGACGGCGAGGACGGACCTTAATATTGACGCGTATAGACGAGTAGGTGTTATTTTCTTCTTAACTAGGTTGCTTCGTAGTCAATTACATGATCAAGAAATACATCATTCTAAGTAGCTACTTAGTAACTAATTGTTGATCGCGGTTGGATTTTTGGCAGACGATGGGTGTCAAATATATTTACCATCAAGTTTCAAGTTTTTTATTATTTGGCAATAATCAACGGAACCGGAACCCACAGAACATATAACTTTATTTGTTCTGTGGTGTATCCTGAGTCACTTGGGACCAGTAATTAAAATGTAAATAGGTAGTTGAATAAGCTATTGTTCAGATTCAAACATTTACCGCATCATTACTTGTGTTACATTTTTTCCGGTATCATCAATCAGAAATCATAATCATCAATCATCAGAAATCATAACACTAGAGACACTTCCTTACATTTCCTACTTGTCATTAGGAGCTATTTCCTAGTTCCTCAACGCTCACAATTTATCTAAATTAAACAAGTATTAAGTGAGAGGAGCTGCCGGTAGCTTCCGGAGTTCCCCTGCACTTAAGTAACATTATGTTTGTAGGTACGTCTATAAATTACTTCATAGGTAGGTAATACTTGATCAAAATAATGACATGTAGCCTCCGTCGTTGACCATTAAAACGGCACGTAAACATATCATCACAGTGTATAATGTTAGCAATAACATATAACAAACGCTTTCACTTACACACACAACGTTTTAGCGACTGGAAGAACTCGAGGAGAAACTAAAACAAAGTCAGTTCAAGCAATATTTGCAGAACAGTTACCCTTCGCAGTATGAAAATCACGTTGAAAGACCCTACTCCGCAAATAGGGAGCCCTATACAGAATATCATAGTATAGATTCGGATCCAGTACATGATATGCCTACGAACAAGTTTGCTATGCCTTCACAAAATAAGGCCCCGAAGCCAAATAGTCTGCAAGTAATTTATTACGATAAGAACGTTGCAGACACTCCTAAACCAAAAAGTTCGGAGAAAAAAGGCCTTTTTCATATAACCAAGAAAAGGAAACTTTACAACGACAAAGACTTCCAGGATTTTTAATTTGTTATTGGTACGCATAGAATGTTATGTTATTTAAGATTTGTCTGTAATCGAATAAAATGCATGTTTTGCTAATTTGAATCTCCTATTTTTGCTCTCTCCACCTGATCCTTGTTTAACAATAAATTAGCAATCACAAGTGCCTTACCTCTACCCACCAAGAGGTTACGTAACGATAGAGCCGAATGATTCAACATATTATTGTATGCATTTCAAAATTTCAATAAAAGCCATCAGAATAATAAACCTTTCAAAATTAATCATAATCAACGCTATTAAAAGGATTATATAACAAAAAATATGACCAGTAATTATTTTACTACTCAGTCTCGCCACAATAACTATTTGTAACGAAAAAGCAATTATGTTAGCAACGGTGGCTCTTTCTAAATTAGTCGTTGCCTTATCTGATATGTACCTGTTACAACGAATAAGAATGCGATTATGAAAATAACTACATGCCTAGGTGGTACATATTCATAACTTACATCACTTTATGACCCACATATCGTCGTTTAAATCGTACCTACTTCCCCTGAAGCGTGAATTGCTTTATTAGCCACTTATTTGAAATAATTTATGCCCTGTAATTACAAATCGCCCCGAATTAGATACCTATTAGTGTACCTACTTGCCTTCTAAAACTACACACGCAATCTGTGGCACATTACGCAGAATTATCAATGCGTGATTAGGGGAAACCGTATAATCTTAAGTGAAACGGAGATTCAGTGTCATCATGCAAAACTCGGCGTATGTATTTATTTATTTAACCACCTGCATCTTGCGCGTTGAATCTCTATAGAAAGGTTGATTATCAAATGCTAAATAAAATGTTATCGCTTACCATCAGGCGAGATGGTGGTCAAACGTCGACCTATAAAGTATATAAAAAAAAAATGTATTCGGTAAATATGGTTTTTGCATAATAATGGTGTCGATGCAGACGGAATACAAATAAAATATTTCCCGATGAGGACATAGGTTACCTACTTGATGCTTCTAAAACAGTAGAGATGCAACAGATCTTGGCACATACGCAATAGGAAAGTATAAACAGTCAGTTCAAATAGACTTAATGCTGTCACAGTGAAAGTGTAGAGAGCTTGATGTATTGCTAAGCTTATCTGGTCTAGGCTCTCGATATAATGAAAATGTTGAAAGTTAACCACACCATAGGATAATAAACAGAAATTGCCGTCAATATAACATAAACGACAACTCGTGCCATAAGAAAGCGCGATGGTAGCTCTATCATAATGAGGCAGATAAGTACGTAATAACAAGGAGATTCTTAAGACTTTCGCATCTAGTAAAGAGGCAAGAGTTAAGATACTTCATTAAAAGAAAATGGATAATTTTGGTATCATTTATTGCTGTCGACATTAAGTTATTATATTTAGACAGTAAGCACACACATGATCGAACAATAAAAGTACCTATGTTGATTTCAGCCTTAAAGTTAATCTCAAGCAGGATAGGAGTAGCTCAAATAACTAGATATTAAGTAAACTTAAACATAATAGATACATTTACTTAGCATACATTTTTATTATCTTTGGCTAGCATTTAGTTTCTCAGATTATATCATAAGAAGACGAACAATAACAATTCATTTAGCACCTTACCTAAAACAATTCAACTTACATAAGCGAGCAGCCTCTGACGCCTCTCACAATATTTAAAATACCTTAAGTACAGACGAAAATTAAATTGATCTTGATTATACTGAGCGAAAATGCGGAAGTTACATTTCTAAATGATGAAAGATTACATAGTTGTCATTTACCAAATGAATAAATGGGCACTTAAAATAACTCTTTAAGGGTCCAAACTACAGTCATTTGTGGATTATGTACATAGAAACTACAGTTTACATGTAACGGTTTTACCTACATTCTATTCGATTCAGAATGTTCGTTTAAAAGTAGCATTACTTGTGCAGGGATGCGTTCGGAGTTTTTAGAATATCCGGAACACACTTTCAAACCGTTCCATCCATCTAACAGTGAGCACACTAGTGTCTAACTATCTATTCTACACTTTTAGCTAATTTAGAAACATTTGCATTATTCTGCCACAAAATTATACGTACCACAATAACTATCACTATGTTTACACACACACAGTTTAGACATGCGTGCATGCATTATACACATAATTCATGCGATCGGTACACAATGTTTAGTCCTCGAATTTCAAACATTTTTGTTTCTATTAATTACCCTCGATGCTGGCTACGAATAAGCCTGTCGAGCGAGTTCCAGCTGCAAGAGTAGTCGATCTGCAGATGTCCATATCTAGATAAATGAAAATTATCTGGAGCGGTCTTTGGGAAAGGTCGTGCCCAATCTTCGTATTCCGGAGACAGGCTCTCGTAAGCGAATTGCTCGTAGGCTTCAGTCATTCTGTAGGCAAAAAGAAGAAGAGGCACTTGTTTATTTACTTTACCTGTTTGTTTTTAAATGCGATAGTTTATTTGAACAATGGATATTTAATTTAGATATAGTAAATTAACGTCAATCTTTTAAAAAAGTACAAGGCAGATTGAAATTTCGAATAAACATAGAGAATAGCGATAATGAGCTGGATTATCACGCAGAATACTTTGTGTTCCAGTAATGCGGGCGATGCAATCTTGTTACTACAATGGAATGGACATCACGGATTAATGTTAAAATCAACAGTAGGTTCGTAGTATCCACACGCAATCTCGGATCCGTGTTAATACATGATCGCAAAGCGGATTAGATAACAATCGGACTATTTCCTACTTAGCGACAGCACTTCGCGCTATTTCACATTATGGAGAATACGCCCACCATGAGTGGCTTGACTGACTTTCTAGTTATCCGCTAAATTTACCTCACAAAGCTGCATTCACGTAATCCGTGACTAGAAAGTGGTGTGCTACCCGAATAATTGCTATGATGCCTGTTGTTTAAAAAGGTAAACTATTCAGCTTAATGGATACTTCAACTGGTTTAACCAGCTACTACAACTTTATTCGGCAGTAGGTACCAATTAGAAGTAATTTCGTAATTGCTATTTCTAATTGTTGTAGCGAATAAGGAAACGCACACGGGGCGCATACAAATACATCTTCGGTAATCGTATCAAGTTGCTGATTCAGTGCATACAAACTGTATTGGCAAACCAAACCCACAGATTGATATGGAAAGTGAACTGTTCAGAATACCAAATTATAAACAGAATTTCCTGCGTGTAAAAGATTTTAGCTTTCAATACCGAGTACCATGGACCCACTGCCAAAACGTCTAATTTGGTAAATTCTACCATAACAGACAAAAATTGTTTGTCGCGTGTGGCAGCAATCAGACAAGGTCATCAATCTCTATTCGTCATATAAATGCTATGGATGCAATGCACAGAGTAATTACGTAATTACAACGCCCACTAAGGTCAATGTTAGGAACAAGTTTCCCTACAAACATTATCGTGAGCTGAGGTACATTCTCACATGTGCAACTTTCATTTGTAGGAAACAAAAAACTGGTGCGCGTTCACACGACGGATGTACAATGCTTGTTATTATAATACAGAATCGCGCGCCTCACACTGCCTGTACTAACGATGACCGTTTTTGCCGGTGAACTTTCCGTGGAAGCTAAAGTCACGCCTAAGTGCTGGGAACGCGAACTTCCCATTCACAGATATGCAATTTGAAATGGCAAGTGGCAGCCACGGGTCGCCATCATTTTTATGAGACAAACATCAATTAACCTTGCTATGTATAAACAAATCTCTTCACACACGTCATTATTAGATGTGTCGTGTGAAAGAAACTAGTCGGTTACTTATGTTAAGTAGATAATATAGTTATAAGCAACCAATATTTTACTATCTTGGCACTGATTCGATACTATTATGTAGATACATTTTCACTAACAGAACCTGAGCATTTTGCTATTGTCTCTATAGTAATTACCTACGTGCCGTACAAGTGTAGAAATCCACAGACGTTACCCGTGCATGTCTAATATTTATCTCATTCGTGTGAAAACATCTTCGTGTTTTGTCGTGGTGGCTGGCGGCTGGAGTGATGCGATGTCGTGACCATAACGCGTAACTCTTCAAGTAGATTCGCTATTTACAATATTTTACTCATCTTTGTTGATCTATGGTTACAGCTTTTATGAAAATGATGCATCTTTTGTTACCTATACGTATATGCCTCAACCTCTACTAGATTTGGAAATAGAACTTTAAGCACCACACTCGTAAACTTGTGGCTACTGTAGGTGCCATCTAGCCTTTATGAATGACTTAGATAATAAGTAGTTTGTGGATGATTTCCATTGTGTACAGTAATCAACAACATACCAACCTATATTTCAATAGGTACTTTCAGGTTTTTAGTAAATAGTACCTACCTAACGGTAGATATTTCTACCTACGATATTTTAAGTTAGAATATCTAAATAGATCATTTTATCTGCTACACTTCTGTGAAAACTCTACGTACCTAGGTACACTAAGGTAAATGCCAGGATCGTGTAACTCCGCTCTTGCTAAAGGTTATGTAAATACGAGTAGGTACTCACATTGAATATCTCATTGAATGGAACATGTCTCCAGTCTCCACGTTTTTTCTCTTTTTATTGGACTTTCGAGAGCGCAGAGACATAATTACATTGACAATTAAGTAATCATCCACCTTGAGCATGCAGGTACTAAAGTGAGCAACCATGTATCTGCTTTTTATAGAAATGCTCACTATAAATTAGAAATAGAATAAAGTGACATCAATCAAATGTCTTTGTAAGCGCAAGCTACGATCATAAACGTCAGTGATTATGTATTATGCTATGCAGTATGCAGCCGCTTTTTCTCCATACTTTTACTCTGAGATAAGCTGGTAGACATTCCTACGCCTACTACAGTAGGTATATTGAAAGTAAATAAATGAACCAATCCCGGTCAATAAAGACATCATCATAAATATCTAAACCAATAAAAACGTAGAAATCTTCTGTGAACATAAGGTTAAACAATATCTTCGAACCGTTACCTGGAATGCCTCCTACTGTTCGGATATCCAAGGCCTGCCATCACGTATTCTGAGGGGTGAGAGAGTGACATACGGGTTCTAGGAGGGGGAGGCATATACCCTGGAGGTATCACCCCGCCGTACAGTGGCTCATACAACATCGGATGAGGAACATACGTCGGTTCTTCTATGAACATGGATCTTCTTCTGTCTCCTGCAAAACGAACACAAAAAAATTAAGTAAAACCTTCCCCGTGTGAGCATAGGCCTTTGCTGAACAGTGGCACTTGTAGGTTGTTGATAAGGAGCATGAAGACACAATTACTGTCATTGTTAGAAGGGTAAGCGGTATTTTGGACACTAATTAGTACAGTTAGGTACTTTTGATTATCATCAGTTATTAGACCAGAAGTTTTATAGATGTCAAGTATCATGATGCTTATTACGTACTGCTAGTGCTGTAAGTAGCTGGATGTAAGTTCGGAGATCCGATTCCCGGGTTAGGCATTAGAAGACCCAAACAATCGATAGCACAGTTAGCCCCAAAAGTTGATAACCACATTAAGTAGATTATTAAAATCGCTGTACATTGCTATTGCCAATAGCGGGTACGGTTAGCAATGATGCATGATATTGTTTAAACAACGTGTTGTCGGTCATAGTATAGATGAAAAATATCGCGTGCTTAGATTAGAATTAGTTACCATTTACCATTGTAACTTACATTATATCATGTCTTAATATAAGTATTATTTATTTTAAAATATCATCAAATCAAATGGCGGAAAGCGCTAAAGCTACTTACAATACGGGCTATGAACATAAACAATATCGATTTATTCGAAAATGACCGTGAAGATTATGGAGGAATATTGTTAGTGATAGTGATTCATGTGATAAGAATATATTCTACTTGGGTATACGACCCTTCGATTTGATGTTCGTAGGTACCTACCGTTGTACCCAAACACCGAATGTATATGTAGGTATGTAGGTACTTATGTATTTATGTAACATTGTTTAATTAACCAAACAATTCGTTATTGATATTAACTTCTTCATGATACCTACCTAGGTATCATGGAAGAATCGAAAATCAAACAGTAGGTATAGGTATAGCTAATATAAGACTACGGAATCGCTAAGGAACATTGCAATGAGGCCCATCGATCAAGCCAATTTCCTTTGCGGGGACGGGGAGCATTTTGCAGCTACAATACAGCTACTGAACTGAACTAAAAGTACTTGCTGGCTTACTACCTGGGTGTTTACTCTTGAAACCAATCTCAATGTTAATGAAATTTCAATCTAATAATTATTCAATGTCAACACTATACAACCCCTATCGTAAGTACCTAGCTGTTAAAATCTAAAAAGCAAAAAATAACTATTATTAGTACTGATAGGTTACCCACCACCCACTGATAGGTAAGAAGTCTGCGCGAACAAACAAAAAAAAAACATAGTACCTCCTCCTTTTTTTATTTTGAATTATAGCATTCAGAGTACGGAATATAAAGTCAAACTTAGTACCTACGAAATTTTACAATACCAATGTCGATCGATCGGAATTGGATTTAAGAGTAAGCCCCCTGCCTGATTTTATTCTGGCCAATCTGACGTAATTCAGTAAGAAATATCTATCCAAACCAAATTATCGCATTTACTTACCTATAATTTCTATGAATAACTGAAGAAAGACGTTCATTATGATTTATGAATGTCAACATAAAGAATTTTAGGACCCATGTTTATATTACTAATTACCCTTTGCCCATTTCAAACGACGTAAAACAAAAGGAGGTTCACAATTTACCCGATGATTTTAGATTGGGAAGATATCTACTATTATTTAGGATTACGTCTATCTTTTTAACAACATAACATAACATAACTTCACGCCTTTTATCCCTGAAGGGGTAGGCAGACAGAGGTGTACATTACGGCACTTAATGCCACTTTAGAGGTACAATGTAACACCCACTTTTCACTATTTATGTCATGAGTCCCATCCCATGTAATAGGGGGTAAGCCTATTGCCATATACCGGGCACAACTTCAGACTCCGTGCTACTACTGAGAATTTTAAAAACTCAGTAGTACTTTGCCCGACCCAGGAATTGAACCCGAGACCCTTGCGACCACTCGGCCAACGAGGCAGTCTATCTTTTTAATTAGGTTTAATAGTCATAGTAAAAAGATCTAGCTAATACTTATCTTATCGTTGCATTCTAACATATGTTTGTGAAGACCACATTCCTTGCTAGTGTAACGAATGGTTTCAAATTCAAATTCAAATTCTTTTATTGCATATCATGTGTACAATTGGTGTTACATGAGGTACAGTTTCAACATGAAACCCGGCTAGGGCACGGCAACATATGGAGCAAAATATAATCTAAGTTTATGCTTAATACTACTACTCTTCTTATTGAGTCAAACAAAGCAAAGGAGAACCAAAAAATGTTAAAGAGAACCTACCTACTCAAATTGTCTCGTCTGGTCCTAACTCCACGCGCATATTCAATAACGAACCATTTCGGTTTCATCTTTTACTTGCTGTTTATCTGAAATCTAGTGTAGTGGTAAAATTACCTACTGCCACTTTCGTCGAGTGGTCAGAAGAAGTGTGACTACCGAAAAGAGGTTCGGACTCCTTGATTTGACTAAATAAGATTGAGATTTCGATTGTTGAATGTTCTCAATATTGCCGCTTTCATAGAACTTATAACTTACGTTACCTACTGGTGAAAAGAGGTAACATTTACCTAATACAGGTGTGTCTGCTTAACCCTTCAAGAATTACAAGTCTTGTTATTTTATATGGCCTATAACACAGTTGTGTTTAGTCGTGTGAGTTAGGTTATCGGAGGCCAAATTACCCCCCTCCCCAATCTCCTCGATCCCCGAATCCCCAACCATCCTTAAATTCCTAATCGCCAAAAGGCCGGGAACGCACAATTGTAACACCTTTGGTGTTTTGGGTGTCTATGGGCGGCACCGATAGCTTCATCAGGTTAATCAGGTGATCCATCTACTCGTTTATCGGCTTATTCCATAATGAATAACATATTTTGTAGCTCCAGTGGTAAGTAGTAAGCATATTTAAATAAAGTAAGTAGGTACCTACTTAGATTTCGTTGACGAATCCATCAGACTGTGTAGATTAAACGGAATATTGATTATGTCACCCACACCATAATATTATTTAGTATCATTATATCATATAGTATCATCAAGCTTCTAATATAAATAACGGATCGACATTATTATGGTTATGCCAAATTATAGCACGTACTGCCTACTCATAATACGTCGCTCATTTGGAAACAAGTGCTTAATTTAAATACCTGCCTATCTTATTAGGTAATGGTAAATAGGTTTTTTGTTTTTAATCATCAATTTCTTTACTGTACTTATATACATACATTTATAATAATACGTAGGATATGTTGGTCCTATCTACCTAAACTGTATTTAAAAATCAAGCTGTTTATGAAATCTCTGCTACTTCAAGGCAAATTCATAATTATAGGTACGTACTTAGATAGCGTAACGATATTTATAAATAATCTAAAAAATAGTGTATTGCATTTCTGTTAAAAACAATTAAGTACTTAGGTAACTTTAATGTTTTTTGTTCCAGATCTATACTAATTAGTAGGTACTCATCTAAAAAGCAAATAAATGGGCATAGGCACTCGTAAGTAGGTACGATGTAGGTACCTACTCTCAATCTCATTTTAAAACCATGACGGTAATGACTAACGAATAGACGTTAATTAAAACATAGAATTCATTAATTAAAATTATGACGAAATAAGTTAAAATATTTTAATAGTTCTGCCGTCATACCTGCCCATAAATGAAAGTTAGTTACAAAGTAATAGTTACACAGAAAATGATTAATTTCTCATTTTCTGTGTGATCGTTACAATAAAAGTCATTCAGACATGCACGTATTGACAGTGCCTACCACTTCTTAAACTGCTTATGCCTATGTTAATTAAATAAGCCAAATGTAAATGAACACTCACTTATTGGTCTCTCGCCGTAAATGGCTTCAGGGGGAAAGTCAGGGACGATAGTTCGGGATGCTTTCCGTCCATATATTGCATAATCAGGGCCAGGGGCAATTATTTCTTCAGGCGGAGTCCTCTTCCATCTGGGCGGTGGTAGTGGCGGCTCTTCTCCAGAATCATAGTTTTTCGTGGGCACATAGTAAAAACTAGCACTGACTGGCTCGCCGGCAAACGAATTGAAATTCTCTCCCTGACTGGATTCTGCCGTCTCTGCTTGCATCATTCCGTAGGCCTCGTTGTCCCAAGGATCCAGGTACACCCGGTGATTGCTTGGTGGTGTTTGGGCTTCTTCTCCTTCACTATCGAAATCTACTGCAGCCCAGTAGGGACTTCCTGCGTGTCCTGGCATTGCTATTGATCAGGTGAACACTAACTCTGTTTGTTGTGAGCCGTCACAACGATTCTAGGATGTTTTGCACACTGAAGCACCAGTCATTTGGACACATAACTATCACCACACGTTCGCGCGCTCGGTCTGATATGGTCTTGTGTGTACTTTATATGCTTGGCTTGAAAACACTATTTGTTATGCTCAGCACGATCGCGTGGACATTCGACAAACGAACGTTGCAATCGCCGGGAGAGTTACGCGGCACGCGGCACATATGCGCGGGCGCACGCCGCGGCACTTGTCTTCAAATGGCGAGGTGTGTGCAAGCCGCTGTAACGTACGCTAGAGAAGATGCAATAGATATTAGAAATGTAAACGAACTGCGGTTCACACGCGAACTTTAAGCAGTCTTTATAGTCTTTAACTTATTATGGCTATTTTAAAATCATTAACAATTTGAAACAGGTTTAGGGTGCGTTTTGCCAAATTGATACAATGACTAACATAACCATTAACATTGTAGTAATAATAACCATTAACCGTGATTATAATATTAAGTGGGTAGTCATTGACATAAAGCCATAGATGCCTTTTTTTTTTTTTTTAAGGGGGGAAAATCATCGGATGACTGCTCCCGCCTGGGTGAGGCGGAAGGGAGTGTCAGACTCTTACTGACTAAAAACCACCCCGTTCCTTCTCCTGCACGTCGAGCCGGAGCCCCGGTTACCCGTTAGGTTCTCCGCGACAAAATAGATGCCTAGTACCTACCTACTAAATCCTTACTCATCAGGGACGCGTGATGATGAGTTCGTAAAGGCATTATGAGTGGGTGGAAATGAAATATTAAAGCAGTGGGTGGAAAATTCATAGTTTGACGGTCTCGTTTGCATTGTAGATCTAGAGGACTGAAGGTTCATTCGTGTTTCTATTTTTTGGCAATGACTTAATTATTCTGTATACCTAATAGCACTGAGCCATCGTACGTGCGGAATAGGTATACCTACTGTAAGTACCTATTTATGTGGTAGGTATGCAGATGCCTTTTACCCATTAGATGGCAGTAACTCACATAGAACATGGCTTTGCATTATTTGCATGCCATTTAAAATTAAAGAATTTAAATACTTCAAAATTTGAAATACATAGTATGTAACAGGTAATACGGCTTCTACGTATATTTTATTACTAATAAATATTTTTCCGCAACTTTATGTCACGGTACCTTTTTATTCTGTGCCCACACGAGAGGCACGACATTCCGGGGTGGTTTTTAATCAGTAAGAGCCTGATATACTACTTCGTCTTTTGTAGGCGTGAAAGCTGGAATAGAATTTTCCATCTTGGGGTTATTGAAAAATATAGGTAAGTACACGTACCGAACATGCTGAAAAAAAAGCGTCCTTGAATAAATCTATCGGATTCGAGGTATTTAAACTATTGTCTGACAAAAAGTGTTTGTAAACTTTTTACCTTTATGACGCTAGTGCTAGTGCTGCAATCTAGTGACAATGTGACAAGTTCCCGTTTGTCTCACTGGATGATAAAAATATCGCGTACAATTTTTCATTTGTGTTTTTCTGTACAATTTTTAATGTAATTTAATGTGACAAAGTACCGACTAGGTGCACTTATTTTTCATGGAAGAATAATTTTAATTATTTTGTATCATCCGTCCATCCATCATCCACCATGTGGTGCATATGGTATTTACTATGGCAAATGTTTTTTTATTATGGCAACTATCTAGCTGTCTTACTTCGCGCCAGAAATGCGTTTTGTGTCAAAATGTCTGTATTATTTCGACTTTGAATAAATGTGATAACAAGTACTGTGCATTTACGGATATTTAGGGTGATTCGTCCATTTAAGTACGTTATTTGTGTTTTAGTAGTTCTTAGAATTGATGTAGTTTCGAGGATACAGTTCTCGTGAAGTGGTGGTAACCATTGGCTTGGTTTTGTTTCGTACGACTATATCTTTTTTGTAACTATAGATGTACTACAGTTTTGATGTCAACGAGTACGTTCGTGTTATATTATGTGCATACAATCACCCAATTCAGTTTCGAACTAACTTGTGTTGCTCACTTTGCTGCGTGTTTGTGACTTGTCCTACAACTTGCATTGAAATCGTGTTTCAGAAATGCCGGACGAAAACATCTGTACGGACGTGAAATCTATTTTGGATCGGTTGGAAAACAATGGTTTGCAGAACTACATAGTGAGATCACAGGAGTATCAAAAATTGCTGGTTGCTTTGGGTAAAGACGAGGCATTGAGCGTATCGGAAACCGACAAATTGTTAGAAATATGTGCACGAGACTTAAAAGAGGAACTGCGGTACGCCGCCACACTCATGAACATTATTTCTATCATAGTGACCAGAGTACAGGTACCTAATTCACATTAAACTGTTTTGTTTGTATTAGTAATGTAGGTCAACATAATGTTGAAATATCCTAAATGTTTTTGACTTTACAGAGAGGTAATTACAACCACTGTCCAAACCTGGCACCATCAGCTTTAGCAGTGATACATATAATAACGACAATAGCATTGCACAGCAAGGTGGATACTTTGAAGCAGTTATGTTATGATACATTGCTATCTTTCCCTGATGAGACAATTGCAGCACTTGCAGACCACCATGAACAAGTCATGGAAGTCTTCAACCTCTACTGCCATGTCAGAATACCCAGTAAAATTAAATTTCAGGTAAACGTTTTTTTATAACCCAACTTTGAGAGTTAATTGTGTTAATTTAATTAGTTGAAATGTGTTTGTTTTCCTTAGAATTTTTTTCAATGAAAGCCTTTTTAGATAAACAAAAATATCCATATGAGTCATGTGGTAAATGATAAGCTACACTAGTACTTAAGCATATCATAACTTATAACAACTAAGCACTTTCATATGAAATATTTGTTCTTGTGTTTTATAATATATATCCATACCATGGTGCCCAACCATAAACATAATATAAATACTTCTGATTAGAATAAAATAAACTTCACATGATGATTAGAAAACTTTCATAAATACAATTTATGAAAGTATAAATACCATACCAGTTCACTCATATGCTTGTTTGTGTGCATAACAATGTTTAAATAAATAAATTACATTTATGAAAGTAACTATGTTAAGAAGTTTAGGATCTCAAACATTTTAAAAAAGTCTCAAGAGTTATTTGCATGAACTTAATAGGTAGATCTTAACTTATAGGATATTCTTCCTAGTACAGGCATTCAAACTGTTTGAGATCTCTGATTTTAAATTAGTATGGTTATCTGTACTATGACTAATTTATTATAACATATAAAGATTTTTATTAACAAGAAACTTGTGTGTGTAATATAGTGTTAATTTGTTTGTTAATTAATTTCATATCTAAACATATCAAAATGTTTACAGGCATGTTCTATTTTACACAAAATATTAAAATTACTGGAGCCTGAAAAGAAGGCACAATTTGTGGAGAAAGGGATATCTGTTTGGTTTTCAAAGATTTTTCCCACTCTAATGAACAGTTTGGCCTTGGATATGACAGAACTCGACATTACTGTAGAAATATTGGAACATTTAACTGAAGAGCTGGTGGCATTTGATTATACTGAAAATCTCCAATGGCACTATGTTCTAGAATGTATCTGCAATCCACAGAAGTAAGTAAAAACTATACCATTAGTACACTTTTAAATTGTGTTAATAAGGTAAACAGTGTTTTAATTTGATAAACCTAATATTATTTCAGATATCCAACAATAATGAAAAATCTATTGATACATAAAAGTGGTATCTGGCACCGAGTTTGGATGGTATACATTAAGCTACTTAAACATCAAATTACACAAGCAATGGGCAACATTGGTACTCCAATAAATTCAATGTTACCAGTTGTTGAAGCCGCATTCAAATTGGATGTGGAGAACAGATGTAAAGCATTCGAATGCTGGACTGTACTCATTGACAGTTTCTCAACTGAAACAAATGAAAGCAACATAAACAAAAGGATTAAACTATTAATCATCCCGCTTAAGTCAAATAATGCGAAAGCTGAAGAAACTGCCTTAGCCAAGTTTAAATGTTGGTGGCATTTATTAGAGAAATTCCAAAATAAAATAGACAAATTCATTGACACAATTTTGGTCACATTCTTACATTTCTGCTTTGGAAAGCACAATGCCACGGATAAGACGATTATTGTGCCTGGACAGATATCAATGCTACTGAAGAAACTGTGTATTCAGGCTATAGTAGACTTAGTGGGTCATGTTAATTGTGACGGATGCACTGAATTGCCTAAACTGAAAGGGAAAATGATAAACACTAAGAATTTAGTGGATAATTGGAATCACTGGATCTTTTCTTTGACTTCAACCATAATGATGTCTGCAAATTCAGATGAAGGCTTGACAAAACAGCAGATGACATGTTTGTGGAAGTCATTCCTCTTGACTATTGGTGAACTGCCTGAAAACACCATAAGAAAAGATCTAATCTCTGAAATGTTATCTATTTTAGTTCATTTAGTGCAGGTAATTATGAAATTATTTTTATTGTGCAATGTAATTTATTGGCTAGTTGGTTGTTGACATAAGTTTGTCATATTTTGTTGCGAACTTTTGTTTATTAGAAGGATTTAATATGTTTTACCTTTCAGGAATGCAAAAATAACAGCAAGCTGACGGATATAGTGTTCAATGCTTTACTGGTATCAATGTTTGATGGAGACACAAGGATCAAACAACTTATGAAATCAAAGAATGACGTCACTCATCCTCTTTGTAAGATAACATCGGCTTTACTGAATCCTGCATTGCACCTTGCATATCAAAGGTAAAATATTAATTTTAATACTATGTAAGACTAGCTGTTGCTGTTAAATGATTAACCACATTTTTTTTTTATTTCAGTTGTACCTTCAAAGAGATGGTAACAAAATTACTGCCTCTAACAAACATGTTATTAGATCCAGCTTATTGCTCGCCAACATTTGCCATAGGGTACATCTTAAAGAACTTGACCGCCACGGATATTTCTTTGACATTCTGGACTGCGTTGTCGGAATCAATCTGTGAAACTCAATATGACATTTGTACACTAAGCTTGTGTAACATCATGATGTGGCCATTGGAGAGAGTGCAATCGTTTAAAAATGTAAGTATTAAATTATGTTTATACAGTTTGAACCTTATGAAAACATTGTATAGGAACTTTTTTAAATATTCTCCAAGAATTTTACCTCTAATCTTGTTAGGTTTAATAGGTATAGGTTGCCTTGACACATGTTGGCATTGGATTAATAACATAATATTTAAGTGTGGGTCGGCTCGCCCGGAGTGATACCACGACCTCACAGAAGACCGACGCGAAACAACGTTGTGTTGTGTTTCGTCGTGTGAGTGAGGTTATCGGAGGCCCAATTATCCCCCCCCCCCTTCCCTAATCCCTGAATCCCCAACAATCCTCAATTGCCTAATCCAGAAGGCCGGTAAA